TTGGAATAGCCTTAACGTTATATAATTAGAGGAATTATTTTGAAACTTGTTCCATGATTGTTGTTAAGTTAAGTTAATTTTCGGCGAGGTATACGGTACCATCCTAGTATTTTTTTTCGAAAGTGGTTTGGTTGCCATTCTGGAAGAATTTCTTACTCGCCTTAATAAAAAGAAATTTAATTATTGTAAATTGATTAACGTCTCCTGAACTGAAAAAGTTGACCCTTTTTAAATGAATCAGTCCATTCAATTTAAAACGGAGCAAGGATAAAGCAGTTTCACTCACTATAATCAATTAAGTTATTAATCCTTTATTATTCATGTTGGCATGCGCCATTTATATTTCGATATCAGTAGCAGTGGATTCGAATTCTATATGAAATTTATCTCCTACATAGTACGAAATTGCTTAACAGGAATAGTACGTATCTTTTAGGGGATTCAACTGGAGGATCTTAACGTAGATTAGTAAAAGTTATTCACAAGAGACAATTTCAAATGCTTTTTATCCAAAGCCATTGCGCAAATAGTGTGCTGGTCAACATAGATATCTTGCAATGTTGTATGGACTGAAACAGATTTAAAGGAAGAGCTATATTCTCGGCTTCAAATGCTGTACGCACCATTGCTCCGATACTCTGTTGACTGGGTGCACTAAGATTGTGGTAAGAATGCTTGTATAGACCGTGAATTTCTCTACCCAAAATAATGGAATAATGGATGAGATGTAGAATAGATTATAAAAAGTTTAACAACGCGAAGCCTGTGTGGCTGAAGCTCGAACCATATCCTTTAAGAACATGAAGACCTGAAAGACAAACTTCAGCCGAGCTAACAAACCTCTGTATTCAACCAAGTACTTAAATATGTAATTGTTTCAATGCATTACTCTTATTTAAACAATAGGAACTATCAGCTAAAAAAATCATCTAATACAATTTTATAAAACAAGAGGCAATTCATTTTAAAAATTCCTGAATGGTGTTATAGTGAAAATCTTGCAAACTCTGTGTCGTGACCGATGAAAGCCAAAACAAAAATCTCCTGTTGCTTCGTTTCCTAGAATATAGAGCTATGATTTCTTGATAAGTTTACATTTTGAGTTTCATTCTTTCTGCCCTCCAAGATGGTAGCCATTGGACGCTGTCAGTAAGTTCTGCGTTGAAGAACACCAGGATAGAATAACCCGTTGACGGATTTGTGGTTACGAGGTCGGTAATTTGCCATTTTCAGGGTACTTATCAGATGTAGAAGAGGAAATGGGAATCCTTAATTTTATGGTGAACAAAAGAGGATTTACATCTTTTATGGCTTGTTGCGTGCAGTTCAGTGATTCCACGTGCAACATAAAGTTAAAAAATCTTTAGAAAACAATAAGGTGAATAAAAAAAAACTCATTCAAGAGAGAAAGGACTTGCAAATGGTACCAGCTTCGTGCAGCTATTTTATTCCCGACAATTATCATTAGACAAAGCTCAACCAACCTCACGAATTTATATTACCTATTGAAAAACCCTTCTTTCATGTATTCTGTTTTGCTCTATAGGGATTGAAAATTTGCTGAAAGTTTGTCATAAAAGGATGTAACACTATTGAACGAGGGATTTAGTATAGAACATTGTTTACTACTTGAAGGACGTGGGAGGAACAGATGTCGTGATATCCAGAGGTTTTTCGTGGAATATGTGCCCAAATGCAAACTACTCAAATCTTACCAGGCAATAGATTAAGAAGAAGCAAACTTAACATTACAAATATAGAAAGAAAAGTATTGTAAAAGGTGGTGGTGATTAGGGTACTCGTTTCTGAGGAATAATATTTGCCCACATGCCATCAGACTCACAAATATCGGCTGAACAGGTGTGATATCGCGATACCGGTTACAATTTTTGTACTGAGCTTCTCGATTTCAGCGCACGAGGTACCATGTAGGAGGCCGTTCATTGTCTTAAACGAATGAGTTTAATTATGATGTGATACAAAAACTTCAGGAGCTCCATGAAGTTTAACTTTATCATATTTAACATATAATGTTCCTGAAAATCCAAAGTGTCGATGCCCTCTCAAAATGACAAGATTTCATATTTTCTCTAAAGAGGTACGTGCGGATAACTTTGGCGAAACCAGATTTATTAGTGCTGTAGATAAGTGCGTTGATATTAATAAAAATTTATGCTATTACTTACATTTTGTTCTTTGAAACTACTTTAGTTCCCTAATGGCTCTGAAGCAGTTGGGAGATGAAAAACGCTTCAGTAAAAGCATCATATGATATTTTGTCAGAAACCAAAGACGTCGAGTTCGTATATCTATTATTAGAAAACCTTTTGCACTTCTCATGCCTTAAGTAATTCAAAATAACAGACGTAATGATTGTATGTCGGGATTCTGTAAAGTATTTAGTGTTAAAAGCTAAGTAACGTGCAGCCCAAGATTCGGAAATATAGTTTTCTCCATGATGATCACTTCTGGAAGTGAAATAATTTGGAGGAGTGGAATTTAAGTTCGCCTTTCATATATTAGGTAAAACTATAACGATTTCTTAATGTTTGCCAGTACCTCTCTCCACCTATATTTCCTGAAGTTAAAGTACCATAGCACGGAAATATTTTTGCATGGTATTGCTACGACTATTGACGATTTGATACGATTCCTCGTCAAGACGAGTGGTTGAAAGTGGAGAAGAAAGATAATCAGCTTTATCATTTTGAATGCCCTTTTTGAACAAAGGGATTAATGATTGCTTTAAAGTCTGAGTTCGCCGCTTACTTTTAAAAGCAGTCTCTTTAACAGTGATCAGTCAAATTTTCTGAACGAAGAAGAAGGCAATAGCAAGATCGTTCTTAATTTCTTTATCAAGCCTCAACATATTCTTCCAATTTTCTTTCAAGAGCTGTGGTAGAAATCAGAGAGAAGAGGCGATCGTCCCATCATTTCGAATTACCTTATTTTCGAAAAAGAGATAGGTGTTTGCTTTAAATTTCTTGTTCGCCGCTCTCCCTTAAAAGCAGTCTTTTAGTTAGAGACCGATCTTTCAGATTTTTCCGAAAATAGAAATCAAACTAACTTTGGAAGAAGAAGAAGACAATAAGAGGTTCGTTCATATTTCCTTATCAAACCTCGTCCTTCCCATTTTTCTTCTTAGGTCTTAGTGGAGAGGTTAATGATTTCACCCAATATCTTCTATAGCTTTTATCTGTTGTTGCCGCAGTGTACATCCACTATAGCTAAGAATTTCACCGTCTGTGCCATTGTCTTGCTTGTGACGAATAAACTTGGTTATTAGTTGGCCATAAGTGTAAGATTTATTTTTCACAGTCAGACATTTGCAAACATAGTTTGTTTTTGCCAGAATTGTCATCGACATTTTTTTTCGAGATAGCTATTAATTAGCATGTAATATCTAAGTTCAAACGCAAGTGTATTTAGCAACGGATATACAGACCTCTGAAAAAATCTGTATGGAACTTAAGTTCAAAGGCCAAGAAAAAAAATCTTACAGTTTTTGTAAAGCTATTTCAGTTTTTTTTCTTCTCTTTTTCTTAAACGTCCAACAGATTCTTACATCTCATTCAGTTTTCCTTCTCTACCCTGTGTTACGTGATGTTACCGAATTTTAATAACTGCAAGAGTGTCGATTTTGACAGAGGTGTCAATACACTCGCGGCTTGTCAACAAAGCAATTTTTCTTCTTTTGTCTTTGTCTTTGTTCTTAATTTAGCAGTATTAAAAGGTGTTCGTTTCATAAGAGAAACAATCGAAAGGAGGCAGGTTAGAATACTGGTGACCCACCTGAACAGCTTGTGGGCTACTGCAAAAAACACCGCCCTCAACTCTTGCAGAAATCATCCTTCTAGTGGCGGGATTATTTCTCCCTAGGAGCTCATTATAGTTTAGGCTTTTAGGTGTGATAAAGGACATGATTGCTGTCCTACCCAGGTGCAATTATTCATGAATCTTTCTTTGCATGAAAGTACGGAAACCAAATTTACTGTCGAATTGTGGCAAGCCTCAAGTATTATGGAACAAACAGGCGTGTTCTTCAAGAGGCTGTCACAAAGTTGTTTTTAATGATTCCAAAACATATATTGAAAAACCTCTCTGTCTTGTTTGCTTGCTTTTAATAAGCATGCCACTTGGGGTTCTGTCACAGAATACCACTTAAGGAAAAGATCTGTGACTGAATTCAATTCCTCTTCCCTCTTCACGTGTAAATTTTCTCAGAGCTCTAACTGGGGAGTCGTGGTTCACTGCAGGTGCAATTGTTTTCTTTTTCAAAACACAAATCTTCATACCTTCCCACTGGGTGTTTACGATGCCGTTTACGGCATTCTTAAAACAATGTTTTTAAACTTTAAGAAACAAAGCGACAGTATTTTATTTTCACAGAAATCGTGGAACGTGTAAAGTTATTTTCCAGATACAAACTTCTCGAATTAAGTATACTTGCACAAGGGGTCTTAATTAAAGACACTGCAGCAAAGCAACCGTCAACCGCTGGAAATTTTCCAGAACGGTTTGGCAGACGTTAATTGCCGCACTAAACACCATAATTACGCTGTTGTGGAACTTTAAATAATATGTACATTTCCAAAGGAGAAGTGACACGTTTCATCCAAAGCAGACTTTAATGTTGGAAGACAATTTGCTCGGGAATCGCTAAGTAATTAAAGATGCCTCCATGGCGAAAAATATTGCTTTCGTTTCAAAGAGGGAGATGAATCCTTCCTTTTCGTTGTTCTGAGCGTTTGTCCCTCGGTGGGTTGGTTTGTGGGATTCGTTCAAAAAAGAAAAACTTTTGATTGCTAGCAGAATTAAACCACAAAGGAGGCGGTTTGTTTTCATAGGACTCATATCTTTAGTACTTCTGGGAACCGTGGCTTTTTTCAAAGCAGAATGAAGGGAACACCAAGGTACTAACTGTAAAAACCAAGAGACCACTGAAAACTCAGTACAGAACAAAGTCTCGCGAAGCATTGAGCGAGCATTTATATTCGTGTCTTCTTTCAATTCTCATTAACAAATACATAATTTTCAATCATGATCATATATATATATGTATATATATATCTGGATTAATTTTAAAAGTCTATCTATTTGCATTTACAAAATAGCATCACATATAAACAAAATACTAAGAAACTGTCGTTATTACTGAAATATGGTACATCATATCAACATTAACACCTTTCTTGGAGAAACTGCTTTCAAATCATACAAAAAGTGTCTTCATTTTTTAAAATTTTCTGAAATCTCCTTTTTGAAAGGAAGAGCATAGGCGGCAATCATCACACGACAGGGAAGCACGTTTAATAGATCTCTATAACGACACATATCTATTCATTGAATTTTTCCTATAAAATCTTCATAAACCGAAAGTTTTACAAACTTTGCGGGAATATAATCAATAATTCTATTCTTTTTGCTTTCCGAATGTCTAAAAATACTTGACTAAGCGTAGTATTGACGTTCAACGCGAAACATAACAAGCTAATGAAGGATCTGTTAACTCTGTTCATATTTCTTTTAACTCGAGTGCATGTCCATGACGGGCTGTGACATTGTCAACACATTTTCTGACGAAATTAAAGTGGGTGAAGTTTGTGTGGAAGGTAGTCCCGGATGGCCAGGGTGTCCAGGGTGAGGATGATGTGGATGAGCGTGCGGGTGCCCCGGTGGGGGCATCATCATAGCATGGGGGTGACCAGGGATGTACATGGGTTGCGCCTGATGAACCGAAGTTGGAGGCATTGGCGATCTGTAGGCGTGTGCGGGCATTTGTGCGTGCATAGAATGCGGTCCTCCGGTCATAGCTGACATAGGGGGTATTGTACCCACTCCACTAACTGAGGGATCGCCTGTTGGGATATATCCTCTTGGTCCAAAGTGCGGGGGCTGTGGAACTCCACCGTCCATGTGCGGGTAGTTGGGATGAGGAGGTGGGTGATGCTGATCTGGGTAATATCCTGGGGGTGCTCCTGGAGGACCGAATCTCGGTCCCGGTGAAGGAAGACCTTGACCGAGAGAGTTCTTCCGTCGTCTTGACTTAAACACAGTGACAACCGGTGACTTTCCTGCTCTGTTTGAGGCATCTATCATCGGTTGAACAATACGTCTCCTCGCGTTGATGAACCTGCCAAATATACGAAGCAGTTGTAACATCCTGTTACAAAAATGTCGCAAGAAATCAACAAACGTCTTGGCAAAACTTTCCGGCATCAGCTAACAAGAGGAAGTCAACTAATGACACAGGGAAATTAATGTTAAAGCAGCAATGATAATTTTTTTTTTCGGTGTTTATCTATTTCTGTGCCCTTAATAAAAGAGTTTCGAGCTATGAGAGAACAATAGCTGGCATTTATGATATTTTGGTGGATGAAAGATCAACGACTCACCAGTTGTTAACTTGTAGTATAGTAAGTCCGGTTTCCTGAGCCAAGGATCGCTTCTGTTCCTCGGATGGGTATGGATGCTAAAAGTGAAAGTTATTAAAACTCGTTTATTCCATGATTTACTAAAACAATTGAGATGGAAGACAAAAAGATTTGGTCGGAATATGTAGCAAAAGAAAGTGTCGGTTTTAATAACGCAGGGAAATGAATCCCTTAGAGAGGTTTGTCTCTATTTCTTGAAGAAGGATCAAACATCGTAAACGAGAAACGGAAAAAATAAATTTATGACCTTTTATTCACGGTGCTCAGGCAGTTACTTTGCGTGAGACAGGTTATAAAACGCAAGGAGGCACAAACTGGTGCCAAAGAGATCAATGTTCCCACCAGTTTCTTATGAGTTCCTCTGCTCTCAAGAATCAAACACCCACACGGTTCAAGGAGCTTACTAAAAATTTGCCTATTACGGTTCAGTTATCCCTTGAGGCTACAAAAGAAGAATAGGAATTAAAACGTTTTTATATATGTGTAACGGAGAAGAAACCGAGCTTACACTAAGCGTGAAGAAGGATCAAACAGGCGACCTGTTTTGTTCTGGTTCAAAGCAACAAACAACCCTGTATAGTCTTGACACAAACTGGAAACACTGGCAATTTAGTTTTCATTTGAATTTGTTCACCAATAAATCCGAACTAACCCTTAAAGACACAAAATATCTTACCGTTAAATGTTGAAAAAGCCAGGCCTTCATTATGTTAGTTGCTGCTTTGGGAAATATTCCTCTTTTCTTCTGGCTTTTCTTCGATTGTTCGTCGTCCGTATTGTCACCGTTTCCATCTTCCGAGCCAACAGACGTGTTTAACGAAGGGTCTGAAATGAAGAGGCAGGCCATGTTTTCTTTAGAAAATACTGTCGTTACCGAGAGCCACTTCAAAGACCTTATTCTGTTACACGTAGCACTGAGAGAATATTGAAATAGACAGTGATGAATACGACACGTTGTTAAGACGATCACATTTGCAATTTTTATCCCCTCATTCACTTGAATGAGTTAAATAGCACGGACAGCTAGTTTTGCATACAAGAAGGATTAAGGCAGTTGTGACAGCCTAATTTTCTTGTGGAGGCTAGAAGGTTAACACTCTCTGGCTTCTGCCAAAGAGAAGAGGCTTACAGCAACACCTGCTACTCTAGTTTCCTGTCAAAAATCACAAAGACCTACTTGACATATTCCCAGAACTTTTCGAAATAGCGTTATTGGTGTCATTCAAGACAAGACAACCCATTTCCTTCAAATACATATTAGTGAAAACACTCCAACTTCCCATCGAAAGGATGACTGCGATAAGAGACTTGTGATATGCTTTGTTGACTTAAACTTCTGGAGAAAACAATAGAGAGGGTGGAACGATTTTCCTGCAGTTAACGAGGGTGAGAGTGTTTTGGTTCTCAGAACGCCCCACCCCGCAGTCGAGTCTCACCGCTTTACCCCAGTCACTTTTTTCGCAGCATCGCCTGCCACATTATGCCTCTTAAGAAGCGGCAATGTAAATAGTGGGTGGAAAAAGGAGGAAATGTTAGCTCAGTGTCTTGGATTAAGTAAACATCACGAAAGAATGATAAATACTCCAAGTCAAATTTTCTTTCTCTCAAAATGACATCTTTATGAAAATGAGGCGAAACACAAGCAAACATCTGGTTGGAAATTGAATGGAGCTAAAGACAGGATAAGAAAAATAACACGGGAGAGCGTCCACCGCGCGACACAAGACGCATGCTGAGAAGCAATCAGGTTGGCGCTTAAGCCTACCGGATTATTAAAGGCAGTAAAAACTAAATCCCTCTTAGCGTACATGCGTGCATTTGTCACTCGAGAAGAAACATTCATCGACCTAAACTAAGGATTAACCAAAGATCGCTTTCACGAAGCACTTTTCAATCGAGAATCTCGACTTTGTTGATGAAATTTATAACCAAAGTAAGGGTAAAATCCTTAAAAAATGTCCAGTCGATTCTAGAGGAAAGGTCTTGCTTTCAATTTTTTGACAAGGAGCAATTAAGTTAATCGGACGCTATCACCGCGCTTTTATGGCTTTGTTTTCTATCTCTAAAAGCTCCCAAACCAAGATGCGGAATTTGAGCACGATTTAAACTACCTTCAACAAGCTGATAAGAAAGAGTATGGCTAGCGAAGCCTAAAGTCTGCGTTATTTGAGCTTAATTAATTTGTTCAAGGGGCATGGCAAGATAAAAGACTAGAATTTCACCACCATGAGGAGAATCTACTACAGATAGATCCTTGAAATTTGACACCCCTGGTACTTGGATGCTGACAAAAGCCATCAGGTTCACTTAAATACTTACAACAGCCCTTAGTCTTACTAATTCATGTTACTCTTCTTTCACCTGGTATTCGCTCGTGACAGCAATAAAGCTCTTGAAATTGTTTTCCATGAGGCATCTTCGAGAGCACATAGAAATTAGAAGTTCCAAAACCACTTGACGATAACAAAAGTTTTGAAAAGTTAACGATTGAGGAGGCGAGAAGGTCTCAACGAGAAGTGGCGCGCACTAATTTGCGAGAGCTTGTTCTTCTTTGTTTTTCACTCCTAGAATCCCGAAACTAAACCCCGGAGATTGTAGATATAAGTGACGACAAAAGCATAATGAATTATTGGTTGACACTACTTCAGGAAATTACTGGAGGAAATTGCAAGAGGCTATCTTGTCAGATTTATCAAAGAATCAAGAAATACTGTCAAGAATTGAGACAATGACAGAAAGGGATGGTACACATGCACTTAAATGAAAGGCAAGCTATTATCGGCTTCAATATTTTTAAAATACACACATTTTCCAACTTAAGTGAGCTATATGAAATCTTGACAGTGAAAGCTTACGTCGCATAAAGACAAGAAGCTCTTGTCAAAATTGCTCGAATAACTGGCAAGGTCCTGCGGTTAATTAACATTTGAATCTATTCCTAGGAGAAAAATTACTGATTAGAACGCAGCCGAACTTCACAAAGAGTCTTCCTTTTTGACAGGCGAATACTATTTTATAAATATTATTTTGTCCATTAGAAATGATTGCTTCAGTTTTCATCTTTTAGAAAGCTTCATGTTTGACACTTTGTAAACGAAAATGGCACATCTGTTACTAGCTGTTAATTTTATCGTCTCTTCATTGTCAAAATAATTCCTACAAATTCTTTTCTTTCCCTTTGTTTGAATACACAAAGCGAACTAGTGTTGGAAAGGAAAAAAATTTGCGCCGTTCCCTTCACCTTAATTGTAACTTTTCTTTGACAATTAGTGATGTTTGTACTAGAAAATATTCTTGTCACCTCGCAATCAAAAGAAGGCGTTCACCGAATGAGAAGCACGCGATAAGCTATCCGTGAACTTTTTAGGGCTCATTTCGAACCTCTTTATCGATCATGGTCTGTTTATCATTGCAGACAAAAAAATCACAAAAGCGTTCGTAACAAAGTCTCACACACAGGGTGTTTTGGTTGTTCCAGCAAACGACACATAATGACTATAAACTTATGCATATGAGGAAGAAGCAGCAGAATTTGCATATGCCTTATCCTTTCGCGTCGTAAAACGCGTAAAGTGATATTCTTTTTAATTACCAACAGAAAGAAAGCCTTTATGCAGCTGTGTCAACAGAGACATAAAGCTTTCAACTCAATAAAAGCCCACAAGAATAGACGTAGGGCTGAACCAATAATTTCACTGTTCAATCCCACTCTTTATATAATTGCCAACGTGGATTACAACAATGGCCAAGAGCTACTCGTTTAGCATAATAAAAGCGCGATAAAACAGTAACCCCCGATAAATTCTCGTTTTAGTGATGTATTACTGAAGACATTATTAAAAAGACATCGAATACGGAAACAATTTAATAAAGAAGTGATAGAAATGTCGCTTTTAATAAAAGCTTTAGTCATTTCCTCACCTTCCGGAGTTGTAGGTCCATCGACCCCAGAGTTGGACGGTGGTCGGGACGATGATTGAGAATTGGAGCCTGAACCGGTGGCCTCATCTCCTTGACCGGGTTGCCAGCTCTGGGAGTTTGATGCCTGTGATGAGCGAAGGAAAGAGTCGCAAAGATGAGCGATCGATCGCGTGAATTGCTTGTGTTATCTCTCGAAGCGCGAAGAAACAATTTAAATCCTTTCATATAGTTGACACTAAGTGAATAAGAAAAGCAAAGCGAGAGGTGTAAAAGTTTCGACACCTAACACAGTTTTTGTCACTAGTGATTGTGAAGAGGTAATTGACGAAAATCCCATCTACAAGAAAATAGGCCCGCCGCGCTAATAATTTTACAAGTTAATCCGCCATATCGTTGTTTTCTCCCGGACTCTGTCTAAGAGCGCGGTTGTTTTACCTGTCTAAGGTGAAAACAGGTAACCATTCAATTGTTAGTGATTTTGTCAGGTTGAAAACGTAGAGGTGTGAAATTGATCTTAGATAAATGCCCAGTGTTTGGGACACGAAAGAACCCTTTTTTCAACACGTCAATCCGCCAAAAGAGCTGTCTAGGCTCAATAAAAACTTCTCTCAACTTGACAAAATATAACACCATCACAAGTGTCCAATTGATGGTTTACTAGATGACTTTTGGTGACTTCTTGTGACGGCTCGTTGTACGAGCCGTCTTAAATACAGTAACCACACAACAATTTGTTTTTACTTTCCCATTCAACCTATTGGACAATGAAAGTTTAGAAAACATCGCCGCGGGGCGCAACGTAAATACTGCAGTCAGTGTTCATCAATCAAGTCCTGAGCCGTTCGCCCTGGGTCGCGCTGCAGGCAATTCACTTCTATCGCGAGATTGCCAAGACAGTACAGTAACCGTGCGGTATCATCCTCGCGCGACTTATTAATAGCCATTCATCCACTTAGATGATAATGTGATGTTGTGAAAGAAATTTACACCTCCACGAAGGCCATCTACTAGATGAAAAAACAACCATAAGAAAACGGGGCGATAGCGTGGCGTTCGGTCGCAATACATGACACATCAGATTACAGTACCTGTGGCAGGGCGCTTTCTGGCGGTGAATCGATGTCCAAAGTATCGCTGTCGCTTCTGCTTTTGCCGATATTTTCCTTCTCGTCCATAACAAGATCAATGGGCATTTTCCCCTTAAGGCAGGAAATGTAGCGCTTACAGAAGTTGTCACACAGCTCGTGCACCTAAAGGAAGAACACAAGATCTGAATTGGATTATATAGATTTTGTTTTAACAACAGGAACGACTTCCCCTAATTTAAACTCGACTGTAGTGTTAGCTCGAAGAAATACCTTTGAAATCCATCGAATAAAAGCAAATGACAACACGAGATTAAATTTCTAACTAAAGATAAGCGTAATATATGCATTATGCAAATTCTCGTCTGAAAAATGTCTGGAGCCTTTTTGCTTATATACACATATCTGAGGGCCTCGCAGAGCCTAAAGAAATTCTCTTTACCTTTCCGCTTGCTCAACAAGCTTTTATGTGACTGCTCACGGCTGACTAGAAAATGACACCCGCGAATCAACTTAAATAAATATTTTCTTACCTTTTCTAATTCCAGGAGGTGAAATCTCAGGACTTGGATCGATTGAATCATCTAGAATAGAAAGAACCCAAAAATTGGCAAAAAAAAACAGAGAAAAAGCAGGATTCCGTCATGCTACAGCTCGCGACACCGGGGTGATACCAAAGCCCCAAATGACTGCTGTGCGTGTATAAATCAACGTATAAAGGCATCGAAGCATGTGGCAACATTTTGTGTTATTTAAATTCAATCAACCGGGTTCGTATTAATATTTTAACACGTCCACCTTTGAAATGATAGCTTACGGTTTGTTGAAAACAAACGAAAACAACACTTACCAAACTATCGACTTCGTGGTTGGACGAGAAAATCGTCTTGTCACTCCTGAACTGAAAACACAACAACAAACGGAAACCATTATGAGATTTCGCTAGATCATCCTAGTGTGTGACTCGAGAATGAAAACTGTTGCACTTCAAGAACGGTTTTGAACGATCACGTCAGACTAGTATATCACTGGATATCCGTCCCCTAAAGGCCTGGGGGATAATTGTAACTACTGGATTAGAAACTGTGAACATACCTGCTTCGAAAATACCTGGATATCTTCGTTGAACGAAGCGGACGAGCACACGTCCCCACCGACAGCTCCGGGCTCCCGAGGAGTACACGTTGCCAGTTCGCATTTCTCGAAGATGAGTGCCAGAAGAGGGAACAGTGAATGCCTGGAATTAGAGCATTCATGTTAATGAATAGAGTTCAGTTAATAAGCGTTCATTTACCGCGGTGCAAATGAAAAGATTTGTGATCATGATCCTGCAGGACGTCTTGCTGTAAATAGCTTAGACGTGTGCTCTGTGACCGTCATGTGTAACTTTACCTATTTGTAGTTTGCGCGGTTGTCAGTGATCACCGAGATTCTTAGATACAGTCGATCGTGAGTGATACATTTCAGTCGCATGACATGCAAATCTGAGCTGAGAGGCGATCGTAACGTACATACCCATATATTAACTCCTTATCTCTCTTATGAATATCAGAAACGGCGCTCATCGCATTCGACACTCCTCCTCCAGAGGCTGGCGTGTGATGGTACGGCGAGGTAGCGCTCGTGTGGTTCATGTGTTGCATCTGAGCTGAGCGACTGTGATCGTACATTGAGGTTGCAACGTCCATCGCGTAAGAGCCCACTTCATCATAAGGCTGCAAAATTAAACGATCATGTCAGCTGTTGCTTACGTCTCCTGCTAGACAGTGCGTAACAGCAGCGCTAAACAAGCATAAAATGATGCACACACACCGCCAGAAGCCGGCATCACGGGCAAACGGAACGCTCGGTTACTGACCCGTTGTGCCATACGATGCTTATTCACTCAACTCCAGGGTGACGAGCCGCTTTGTGGAGGATTGTTATCGTAAAATTGCTGCAAATGTTTAATCCCGAATTCTGACAATCAGTTTAGGACTGACACAGTTGGATAGCTTTCTAAACTTACAACCCGTCAACTGTATGTAAGGAAAAGATGTGTACGGCCGTCAACACAACTAGTAACGAATTGTCAAGCCTGTCTCGTGGCTTTTGGCCACAAGTCTGTCAATCACCTTTCAAAATCTCCATGGGCCCTTGTCACGTAACGAGTGATTGAGAGTTCAAATGTTGATCAGGATCACCGGGCATGTAAGAAAAATAATTCTCTCTTACAGGAAGGTTTAGAAAAAGTCAATTTATTCAGGAAGGACTTAGCTTAGTATTTGACTTGACAGGGCATCTCAAACCTTAATAAGCTTTTTCCCTTAAAATAGAACAACGCAAAGTACTTTGGAACGGAGGCAAAGCCATTAGTCAATTCTCCTGGGTATTTTCATAAAACCAGCCACTTTTCAATAATACCTGGTGGAACCAATTAGCTTGACCGACCAATCAGGACACATCTCATCCGCCAAGCCAAATAATATGTCTAAACATTTCAATCTCCATTGTCTAAGCCATCGTGGTTCTTTACGCAGGATCTGGGGCGTGTCATCCTTTTCAAAAGCTTACAACAAAGTAATCGAGTGCAATTTCTAACGTGTAACCAAAGCCCCGAATGAATGGCAGTTTATTAAAAACACGTTTTGGGCTTGCGATAGGCATGGTTTCCGAGCATGCATGTTTCAAATTTCACACCCCCGTTTAATTAGAACACAAAACAATTTTCAAATGTCTCGATGCGTTGGGAAGTATGTAAAACAACCCATTGTCGACTTTGATTGACAGCTTTCTAACACCTGCTGTTAATTGGCTTTGTAGTGTTCCTGCCTGGGAAAGGCTTTCTATAACAACATAAAATGAACTTTAATAAACGCGTTAAAAACTCAAATACAGCTGAAACAAAGAAAATGTAAAAACAGGCAGGTCAATTTGGATTTAAAGTCATTAAATCCAAAAAATTGCGCCTTGTCTGCTCATTTTTGTTTTGGTTGCCGTTATTGAATTTGTCGTAAATTGAAAGTAATTTTGACGGATTGTGTTTCACTATCAATTTCCTTGTCTGTTTGATAACGAAGAAACGTGACGCCTTTTGTCAAAAGCTGTCAGAAAGGCGGAGAACACCGACATTCGGCTAAAAACAACATATCCAAGCGAACATGCTTGAAACCGCACAAGATACTGTGTACTTGTCAGTGCTTGCTGTGAAGTTCATTGTCATTAAAGTGAGCTAAAGTTGCAAGCTATTCAAAATCCGATCGCGAGCGTAATCCTGATCAATTTGCGGCGAGCGTGTTCGTGTGTTTGCTGACAGTAGTAACAGCATGCCAAGCAGTGTTTACGCGCCTGTCCGTACATGTCTGCCTGTTGTTTTGCAAGTTATTATCATCAGCACTTTTCAAAAGCTCGTTTATAACGAAAGGCGTGCGTCGTAGACTAAACGTACAGGTTGTGCTTAATCTAAAGATCTCTGATTTGCTCATGCAAATTAAGTACGTGATGCGGCGGGCGAAGAGAGGTGAATTCAAGACCTGAACTTATAATTGGCAACTGAAATTGGACACTGTTATTTGCTCCCTCTTTGCAAGAGAAAATTTCCGCGAGGGCTTGTTAATAAAATTAGGAAATTCTTAAGAGAGGCTTTCAGAAAAATCAAATATAGGGATCACGCGTTCCTTCAAAGGCGCCAATTTATAACGAAACAAAATTACAAGGAGAACAAAAAAAGTTAACATTGTGGCACCCCGGGCAGATGACACAAACATTCCTATCAAAAGACAGAGTTATTACAAATTTGTAGCCATAATTTTTTTATCATTATCAAATTAATCCCACGTGGAGTAACTTTTCAGCAGTTTTAAGTTCCAAAGAGACTCCCAAACCTTAAGAAATTTCAGAGCGTGTTGGCACAGCTTAAGTTGAGTTGTTTGGGCCGCCACCTCAGGTTTCATGTGCACAATAAACAAAGTGCAGTGTAACATAATCAGTTTTCGATGTCGCTCGGCACGAACTCTTTTCGTTCACGGTGCGCGCGGAATGTGTACGCTTTAGTCTGAGCTAACTAACTGTAACGAAGCTATGTTTGTCAATCCAGTTGTCGCACTTTTCAACATGCAGTCAAGCAAGTGACGTTCTGGCGAAAAGCTTCATCCTCCAAGCTGACATCTGCTAATTAGATCCTCGTACTTATCTACCCAGTCGCATGACAATGATTAGCCGCATGAAAATCATTTTTAAATCATTAAGCTTTTACTTTAGGAAAGAATTTCAAATAACGTCAAATGAAAATACGTAGATCAAGAAACTAACGCATCCCAACAAAGTAGTCAAAGTAGAAACGTGAATAATTTAGCTTGACTCCAACAAAGGCATTTATTAATCAACAGAGCAAAACCGCAAGTGACATTCCTTTCCCGAAAAAATTTCCATCAAAATAGTTTATCTACTCAGCACCACAGACCCCTGATATTTAACGCGATAGTTTTCGCCGATCAAATCTGATGGCTTGTCTTTTGTTATTCTATCGACATCTTGTTTCGTTTTCACATGGAATGAAAGACAGCGAATGAGAGCGTTCGACAGGGTGATAACTGCTCGACTATTAAAATCGCGAAAGGTTGATGTATGTGACAAGCGAGGCTTGAAAACAGCGAAAGTTTTGACACTTTATAATACACAATAACACAAAGTCTGATATGATGCCTTGAAGTCGTCTGGTCACGCATGGATAAACGTTTTGCATTTTTGCTGCTCGCCACTAATTTAAACTTCGGCTTCAAGGGTCCTTTCAGCTATCAGCTCTCAATAGTTGACCCACCAGGTTTGTTTTGATGAAAAAAAATTCGTAAGAACTCGAAATTTCAAACGGATACTTGTAAAATAATAATAAAAAAATAACCTAGCCTCTTCTCTAAGAGCCAGTTCAAGGTTCGAAGTCCTGTTATCATCATTTGAATATGTAGTTTGGTTTAGAAGATATTTTCTCGACGGTCAATAAAGGCCAAGCCGCTCGGGAAAGCCATCCAACAACCTCGAGATCGGTTGGTGACAAGGCAACGTCTACACTCCGATTGCTTTGAAAGGACCGCTTAAAGTTTGTATGTCATGCATGAAATTAGGATTGCTCTCCAGAGTTCACAATGAAATCTGTCATTACAAGCGCGGCCTAAGTGTTGGGGTGTCATGCCGATGTTTATTTCTTTCACTTATGCTTTTCTTTACCTCCGTGTGGGGGGAAAACAGTGTGTTTGTGTTATCGGATTAAAAAACCTTTGCCCCTTTAATAGGCATTAAAACTGCCACCTGATTTATTTATACATCTTTGGAGTTCGCTGTCTGTGAAGACAGACCGTGAAAAAGCTAACAGCCTTGAGTTGTCGCAAAATAAAACCATACTTCAATTTCACAACAAAGGTATGACAACTATGTCGTGTCCATTAGGACGCCTCATAACATTCTGGCGAACCGGCGGTTAGGCAAATTGGTTATTTCTGGTATTTTAGGATTAACTATGGCATCAATCAAAAGCGCTTCACGTCGCTATAGCATACGTGCGAACGAAGGTTTCTTTGCCATCCAGCTTGTAGGAACTATACGTTATTTGAAGGGCATTAACAAGCGCTGAAGCTGCATGAAGACAGTAGGTTAGTCTCTACGATTCAATGTTTCCCATCGTGGAAGTAGATCAGGACTTATATTACAACTATATTGGTAAAAGTGGGTACTATTGATGCTTTAACGGTGTTCAAACATATCTGCACGATACATGTTCAGTTTATTCGACGGAAGGAAATTTTACGAGGAGTGAGAGGAGAGTAGAGACGCCATGTTTTAGTGGGTGACCGGAAGATTAAATGAAGAGAGAGACGAATTGATTTAAACTGAAAGCCAAGAGATAAAACAGGAACTTCCAAAAGAAGAGGCTAGTATTGTAAAGAGAGCTTTCGTTAAATTAACTGTTAAAGAAATCTTAACAGTTTCAAAATCGACACTAAACAATAAAATCGTTTTTGAGAACAAGAGACGCGGGCTATTTGATACAAACAATGATCTTCAACTGTTGCCCTATCGGCTCACCGGTCATAGCAGACCGCTCGTAGGATCACGTTTGAACAGTGAGGAAGGAAGTGTTTTGTAGCGCTGAGTCTGGTTGTTCCGCCTGCTTGCTTGCCTGTGTTTAAACACAAACATCAAACGAGCTTCGTTGATGAAAAGCGACTAGCGTTCACACGATTTCGCAAACAATGCGTTTGCACTTTTCGGGGCTTTTCACCTCTTTGTTTGGACGCTTTGTTTTTAAAACTTGTCTGAACTGGTTTTATTCTTTAGGCACAAAGTCCTAATACAGCTCCTCATTTAAGATTTTTTTAACACATTTTTTTTTCTTTTAACGTGACCCTAACATAACCTTGCATAATGGCGGGTGAGAGTAAAGCGGTTATAGAACCCCTAGCGTAACAAAATGTACCAATGAAACTATCCTCACCTTCACTTCATCACTTGTTCGGTTCTCGTCAGAACCAGCTGGGTCTTTTCGTTAACTTTATCAGCCTGGGTTTTGATCTTAACGTCTGCAGTTTATTTCGAAATCGACCTCTCGATACTTCTGACGACTACCGTTGTGAACGACATATGCTTTCAATGAACCTCAAACAGTGGTTCGGTTTAGGATTACACTTCGGCTTTTTGCGAGCTGTGAAGTGAGGAGATTTCATTCGAGGTAGGGATTTTTCTCGCGCCCAAATATAGACCACTTGTGTTTTATGAAAAGCAGCCAGGAGCCATCGAAAATGTTTAAGTGCTTTTAGTAGAGAAGACTTACGAAATCCATCTCGAATGGTGATGATGAAGCAAGTTTTCTCAGACAGTCCTTTTCTTCCCATAGTGATATTTGTACAAACTTTTAAGCTGAAAGGGAAGTTTGCTCTCAAACGAGCCTTCTTGTACTACACACGTTCGATCAGCTTCGTTTGACTTTTAAGATGTGGTTTCTCGGTGCAATACAGTGAAAATACTCTTGACTCGGTAGGAAGATAAGACAAGACTTTGCCGTGAATGAAAACTCAGCCAATATCGAACATAAGAGGCTCATCCGTTTGTGGACACGAGTCAGTCAACACGGATTTAAAATGACGAAAAAAAACCTTCCCAGGTAAAATGTTTTCCACACCTTTTTGAAATTAGAGTTTGATTTACTTGGACGTATCTCTTGGTGTTGATTTGACAAATTGTACTTCTGTATCTTTGTGCCATGGCCTCCATGTTGACATCTGCCCTCCATATTGGTTCGCACGAGAGAGGCATGTTAAATTTAATCGTCGAACCGGACTTCTTCACATGAATCCTATTTGTTTAAATGCAAAGCTATGAAAAGAAGGTTCGCCTTAAAAAATTTATACAGTTTTTCAACAGCATTGAAGAGGATCGAAATCATACGACCGAAAAAATTGATCTCATATTTAAGGTATAAGACGCTTTCTCGTTGTGTGACTTCAGTTTCATATACTAAATGAAGAAAACTCTTTATTCGTTCTTGTGGTATTAAACAAATTGTGTAAATAAATTGTCGTTTAAAAAAAGTAGTTTCATATTTGTGAAATAATTTCTTAAAATGATTCAGTTTATAGTGACGAGCTTCACCTAGAAATGGGTTCACCAAGTTATGGTTCGCCATACTTCGCCATTTCAGCCCATTTCAATCAGCTGGTTGTATTTTGACAATTCATCGCAAACAGCCCAGTACAGCTGATGGCTCAGTTTGCGCTGTCTTTTCTTAATTATCTCAGCAAGATTGAAAAGGCGGGAAAGCGAAGGTTAACCTTGGCTTATTAAAGAAAGCTTTGGACTTGTCAATCTACTGTCCGGGAGCGTTTAGCACTAGACGATTATGTTGATGCTTCAGGTCGGGTGCAGAGAACTGCGGTCAAACTAGTTGCCCTTCCAAAAACCGGAAAACGCTTTACGAACATACTTTAATACCATTAACGGGCTTTACTTTTTCCATCAATAAAGCTGCTAAACAGCTTAGGAGAGTAAGCGGGAGAAGTGGATGTTGCATCCGTGACATATCCCGGCTGCTCTTCTTTGGAGCATAATAGCCTCAATGACGAGTGGCATGATGACAATTCGTGTTTCAATTTTTGGTCGACTTTTTGTCGTCTCTTTTCGTTTGGCGATTCTTTATGCGGTGCCAAATTATTTTGGGTCATTTACGTCAAGAACAAAGATCAAGGCGCAAATTTTCGTTTAAATTTGGGATAACCAAACAATAATCTTCCCGCCCAACAATTCAATGCCTCTCGCCAAAGAAAAGATTTCCTATTCCTTGAATAGTCAGCTACACCACACCTTTTGTTGAATGCAAGGTTTTTTTCACGGTGTACAAAAATATTTATGTGCTTTTAAAGAAATAACTCTGACGCAAAATACGAAGTAAAAGTTTTCTAGGGGTGTGCTTTGGATAATCACTTTTGTCGGCTGTTTAATCTATGTGGTGGCTTTCTGTCAACAAAAGATGGTTCTGAAACTACTTTGAAAAACGCGATTTTCAATTAGTTTTTAAATCTGTCGACATGAAATAAATGTCGAAATTAGCGCGATTTTCCACGAAGAACCTAGAAAAAGGATTGTACCCACAGGTATAAAATCCAAGCGATTTAGTAAAAAGTTGCCTTGTCCTCACTTCAGCTTTCTAACGCTGCCGAGCAGGTGGCTGTGTATATATAACCTTTATCTTAATCTTTTTCTTTTCTCCCGAAGGAACGATATCTTCCGTCTAGTTGTTGTTGTTGTTTTTCATCAAATGAATGTTTTTTTGTACTTTTTCCAGCGCCAAAACCATTCAAGGCGTAAATATGTTGGAAGAGAAATTCTTCATAGCAAATCGTACAGGATGTAATCAAAGCGTGGTCGACACTTCACGCTTAGAAATGCTCCCTAGTCACCTTTATCGGTTCACTCTTTTCCTAGTTACCTTCGATTTATCTTGCTGTCAGACTGTTATAAGGTGCCGTATCATATAAAAGTTGACTTCAAATGAGTAAATAAAAAGCACGCGGTTCTCTTTAAGGGTAAGCGTTCAGTTTTAAGGATAGTTTTATTCTTTTATTCGACTGTCGATGCCGCCATGACTATTAATATGCCGTGTGTCGGTTGTGTTGACTTAAATTTGAAAAGGCCCTGAGTTATAAGCTTTGACATTTCTCTAGAGTAGCGATCAACGCACATTTACCGCACAATTAAGGAGGGAGCCGAATGGCCAGGCCAGCTTCGATTTTTTACCGGCAAATGAGTGATGAACCTTGCGAAGGGTGTTCAATCGGCTTTTTGTCCCGTCGCAAAAAGCAAAGGGCAGTTTAAAACGACAACGCAGAATAAATGACGCCAATGATGTTTACAGAAAGAAAAAAACAAGAAAGCACTCACTAGAGTGATCAAATATGGCCAAAATAGTCTTCGTTCGTCAATGTGGACTCTGCTAGTGGCTTTGCGGACTGTTGATGGATAAGCTTTCTCCCCTTAATATCAACTTGCTCGAAGGAAAAACGAAACTGGGGATGTGGGACACTTCAGAGCTTCGCAATCATAGACTAATTATTTTGAAGTGCGGAGTTGCTCTATTCCTTCATACAATTCGTAAAACTGACTCCTCATGCCGAATATTCCCATGTTATTTGGTATCTAGGATAAGCCGTCTGAACGTTCTTTATTTCAAGAGGTTGGTTATTTGATAGCGATGGAAAGCGAAAAAGCTGTCCAAAATGTCCGCATCTGTCTGTCAGAACAGTGGCTTGAAGAAAGCGGATGAAAGGCGACCGAAAACAAACTTTACATACCAAAAACACCGAGCAAACGAGAAGAATTTGTTGTAACTTTAAAATCGCGTTTTTTCGACTATTTTGTTTCTTTAAATTTTGGCTCTCACAAACTACGTCTTATTTCGACTAAAAACTCCAAGATATGAGACAATTTTTTTTTAACCTGAGGGCCCGGGCTTTACGATTGAGATGAATGGTGACTGCCGCCAAAGAAGTTTGCTTTTCACCTTTGAATCATAGCACCGATATGGCGGAGAAACAACTGTGATATCAGGCAAATAAGAATTCCAGTTGGACCATAATGGGTTGTTTGGTCTAGGAATTGGAAGCGAATCAGAAGGCCGTTTGTTCTCATGTTACTTCGGATTTAAGGTTACAACAATCCACCTTCACTGCTTTCCAATGCCTAAAGGTAAGTTCAGAGTTTTGATGAACAGTACTAGTTGAAAGCCAATCGAACATTAATCATCCGTGAATGCTTTGTCAGCTTACAGTGTTTATTAGTTTTCGCTTTGTGTATTGTAAACCTGTAAAGTTTTAAGTCAATTTCGACTTTAGTTTCGTTGTTAGTTTGCTTGAGGTAATCCGGCGGATATCGCGGCTCAACGCGCTAATTTTTCCTCCATTTTGTCGCCTTCAAAGTTGAAAAACAAACCTTGCGAAGTCACGAAACTTTTCGCGGCAGAATCGTTATCACACAATACCAAGTGATACTTCGAGAATTGTACTTAAAATTGTATGCTCAAGTGTGTAATGGACCGACCGCCCGAGCACAAAAAGTATCGACAAGTTTTCATGAGACGCCAAAATGTTATTAATATTTCGATCGTCTTGTTCGATTAAAGCTTGATCTTTGATGCCTGAAAATTATCATAACTGTTAATGGTGAAACTTTTTACGAAGTAATTGCTTCTCGCGTCCGTGAAACTTTTCTTGTAATCCAAATACTTATCAGGTAAACAAATTTTGCTTTGCCGAGTGGTTGCCATCTTGGCAAGATCTATAGTAAGCCACCTACCCCCTTATCGTCGTAATGTGCTGGCGACAGAGCTAGGTTTTGCATCGCCTGAAGATCTTGAAAATGTGATATAGACATCTCCTTAGCCTGTTAGGGTTTACCGGGTCAATGACCGCTTTCTCTTTACCAGCTCTAGCAAACGAGATGTTGCTACTGTGACCGTTCCGCTGTAGCGCACGAAGGGTAAATTGCCGCGACTCAAGAGGCGATTGGGTGGCTTGATTCAAGGCCCTGCTGGGTCCTGTCGAATCCCCGTTCAGAGCGCGAGTGAACTCTTGTGAGAGAAATGCTTTCAGACGGACGTATATCGTTCACTGCGGCTATACATTCGTTTCCTGTACAATCACTGATGAAGCCCATTTTTATGTGGTTTGGTTTCTGTGTTTTCAAGGAGGGATTTGGCACACCTGGTCAAAACATTTTTTTTTTTTTGCCCTCTATGAGTCTTGAACTTTGTATTTTTGTTGACTACAGAAAAACATGTTTCTTTTCAAGCATTAAACAAGATATATTACTTAAGCTGTTGGTAATTTTCACTCTCGTAAACACTTTTTGCTGATAGCCCTTCAAGCGAACTCGAAAACCGCAATTGGGAGTAAGGGCCCATTGACAAATCATGGCCAAGGGAGTCGAGTGTCTCCCGCTAATGATCATAAAATTTTATTTTTGTTGAGACTAGGATCTATTTGTTTGAATTCCTAGAATTATTTTCAAAGAACTGTTGATTAATTGTGGGCATGCAAAACAAAAATTGTCACACAAGTTCAGGTAGAACTTAATTTCCAATACAAAAACGCAAGCTTTACACAAGGATCACCTTACAAGAAGGAAATTCATGTTTTGATGTTTTCAAAGGTTAATAACAGAGGGGCTTGAATTTAGGGTTAGATTAAGGAAACACTCAATCAAAGAAGTCCTCGAATAAGTAAAGAAGGGGCATGTTTCTACACGAAAAGCAACTGAAATTGGGCATGAAAACTTGAAAAAGACGAAGCAAAGTCTAAATGCCAAACTTCCGTAAAATGTTGGTGTACATGTGAATTATTATTGACCAGATATAGTCTACATCTCAACAATATCAATGGTTTATTTTAGCCGTTTCAGAGTTTTAACAGTTATCATTTTTTGAAAAGAACAACTAATACTGGGATGGTATCATCTCATTCTCGTTATGATTTTGGATTTCACTGAGTTAGCGTGTGGTTTAGACTAGCAAGCTTTAATCCTCTCGACAACAGCGAAGAGATATTTCAGTGAATGGTTTCTTATCGAAAACACTTTACCTCCCCGAGAGCTATGCACTGGTAGTAGTTGGTGTGATTAATTTATATATTAAAAACTACGTTTGACCAGTGATTCTGTTTCCTTGTTGTGAACCTTCGCAGGTCGAGTGTGTCTCGTTTAATTTCAAAGCATTATACATCATTTTTTTTTACGTGTAAGGCAAAAATTTCAAGGAAACTAATATATTTAGGCAGCGTTTAGATGTTTGAAAATCTACGGCTTTCATGTTTCGCCAAACTTTTTCGACAAAGGAAATTCATGGCCAGTTCACGAGGTGTCGGATTTACACCCAGAAAATTTTATATTAAATTGAAGTGTACTTGTAAATTGAAAAAACAAGTCTCAAAGAGATGATTCTACATTGCCACAACTGTTCGGCTAAAAGCACTTGAAAAACTTCCGTCGTGTTGAGGTACAACGTTTGGATCATGTTTCTTGATAAAAAAAATCGAAAACAAAACAAGTGGATGTGTATTTAGCTGTTCACCACGTGCACAAGAACAACACCCCGATTGTTTTCATCACCCATGGACGCCAGTCTGTAACACGTACAAAACTCAGGCGCCAATATTTTCTTAAATTCCATGAGAAATTTTGATTTCTCGCCTTCCGAAATCACGTTTGACCCATATCACTCAGCCCTACAGCAGAGGCGACGACGCCAACACAAATGTTATTTATTTTTGCAAGAACGCCTTAGTCTCGTTTTAGTTTACTTTAAAAATAGGATCACGATACCCCAAACCATAAGAAATTTAAAAGTAACGGAGACTGCAGTCTATCAATATGAATAGCACTCAGCCCTCTTCAGTGAACAGAGCCGTCAAAATTGTTTTTTGTTGCAAAATATCGCGGTGCGTTTAACGGATTAGGTATTCAGTCTCCTCTTCTTGAAGCTTTCATAGAATGCAGAATGTTCCTATCAGAAAGAACAATTGTTGAAATTATTGTTTTATCAAAATTTATAAGAATCTCCACGGTAGTCTTTTTCTGATAATGCTGAATCAATGCCTTGCTTTTCAAAGTTCATTCTGTGGTAATGTGACAAAGAAAACAATAAACCCACATGTCAGAGTATTATTTCAGTCATAATTTTAAAGAATTTCAATATTTTTTTGTTTACGTTTTTGTCGTTTTGCCTGAAAAATGTCTCATGACATTTTTCGGGCAAAAAAATAAAATAAGATATAAAAAGGAAGGGAAAAAAATCGTTTGTACTCTTATCAACAGATTTTACTTTGTTCGATAGATAAGTGAACCACTTCTAGCTTCCTCTTTCTGTTGAAGCGGCAAATGAGACAACTTTGAGTTTCTTATGTCAAGCGAGCTAACATCAGCTAGCTCCTGCTGCTGTTTCACCGTTTCCCTTTCATTCGTTTAGTAGTGGTCAAAATTTTTCATTAGAGATCAAAATATTCTTCGTTAAAGGGCGTACTGTACATGAACATTAAAGAGAAAGGTCTTTGAATACCGTCGAATGTAAATCGTCCACAGAGGCCTTTCCTGTTTGAAACATTCTTAGCCAAGTTTTGAGGGACAATCAAATTAGAGAACGCGGTGAAAAAAATTCAAAACAAAAATAGACTCTCATGAATTCCAAATTCTTTTTGTTTTGTTTTCGGTAGGAAACACTTGTAAATATTCTACTGTTAACTTAAGGTGAAAATAGTTTGCCGGATTGATTTTGATATTCAAGCTGTAAGTCCAAAACCCAAATACATAAATATTATCACAAGTCTAACTTTAATAACGTTTTCTCGGGAAACTGGAGTTTTGAAGACAAGTTTTGATATGAATTTTCTCTGTCTCAATAGCCGGTCAGTATCAAAGGAAAGTTTTACAAGAATGAGAAAGAAAAACTGTTTTCCTCTGAGTATTAACCTTTTTTTTGGTGGATCAGTTCTCTGGCTGAGAGGAGCAGTGTTGCCCCTTATAAATGATATGATCAAAAAGTGCATTTTACTACATCAAAACAAGGCAAAGTTTGAATATTTTCCGATAGATCAGCGATCTCTATAAAGAACAAAAAAAAAAAAAACAGCTGATACGCCTCTGGAACTTTGACAAGCGCTACCAATGCCAGCCAAGTGATTTTTTTCTTGACAAAGTTTATAATGCTCACCAATGTCAAAGAGTGAACATGCAAGGAAACCAGAGCGTAATTAATATTTGAGGAGGGAAGTTTTCTTTTGTTTTTTCAGTCTTTTCCAGATTCAAAGGATACTGACTGCGGGTGATTTAAATGGAGATAAATACCACTGACTGTAGAATGATAGTTTATTGAATTTTTGAAGTTGTGAAAGCACTGCTCTGCACAGAAGAAATGTCAACAGTGCCATGAGTGTTATTCCTCTTTTCCTAGCATGAATGTTTGTTTACCTCTACATTCATGCAAAAAGAGAGAAATTCAGTTCTGATTTGTTTATCCCTAACTGTAAACAGTGGTTTTTTTTCATCCGTCTTTTCACTTCAAGTCTTAGCGTAAAAAACACTTACGTCTTACGACGACAGAGAAAAAATTTCCAAGCCCCAATCGAAATAGGCTTTTTTTTTCAGGCAGAAAGCCGAAAATGTACAACTAGGTATAAATAACTTAAGTATGGTTTTATGTTTTATTTTCAGCAACTGCTTGCTGCCATCAAGAGCCGAGGAAACAGGCCAGCTCATCAAAAACGATGACATTTGAATCACACATTAGGATCACAACGAAAAAGCTACTTGACATCCATAAAACCAACACAGTCAGAAAGCGTCTGAATTGAATCGAATAATAAAGTTTAAAATAAAGCCTAGAATTGCGCTGAATGGTTTGATAAAACTGTAGATTTGCTTTCTAGAATTAGCTGAAAAAAGGGCCGAAACTTCAGGAGGGGAATGTTCGGTTTGGCACCGAGAAACAAGGATCAATTACTGTGTTTTACGGCGTCATGTGCATTATAAGCTAAAAAGGGTTTCTATAGCTCAAAGTCAAGTGTCGACCAAATTGAATTCAAACGCCCTTTCTTGGAGTGAATCTTGATGAGCAATTTTGATCAATTCCGTTTACTGCCTTCAAAGATGAGCAGGAACAGACATAATCGTGGATAACGCCTCGAAAATTGCAAATTATCAACATCTAAGTTACTTTGGCTTTTATCTTTGCCTACCACAAGCGGATTAACATGAGTTCCTGAATTTTTAAAACCAACATTTTAAACAGAAATCTACAGTAAGCTGAAGAATTGAATCTTTGGCACAGATTTGGAAACCAAAACTGAGCCTAAGCGCTTGTGGGCGAAAACTTTGTGTTAAGTGCTAAATAACAGAATGCATAAGTTTCTCCTCCCTGACCATATTCACTAATTCCCTAAAGCGTTAAATGTCAAACACCAGACCCCGAAAAAGTTATTACAGCGACAACATCTAGATTAATAAGAAAGTGATGCAAATTTTTATTTCATGGTCATCTCCATGGTCATATCCATTTAATAAATAGAAGGCTGAGCCCTTTCAGCCGACTTTAAATTTATAAATATATGGCCTGCCTCTAGAATTGTGCAAGCGTTTGACGCAGTATAATCCATTGTATCATGTCAGATTAGTAACTGTGGTCGTGAAGAATGATGTCGATATGCAAACCGATTTTTTCCCACAGCCACAAGCGGCTAAAAAAACAACAGGCAGCTACATCGAACGGAACCTGGAAGTTTTAACACAGATTATCGCAAAAGATCATCGCTTAGCACGGCAACACTCAGCTTGGGATTTAGCAAAATTAAATGAGATGCGAAATTTGACATCAATCAAGTGGAAGTGACGCGATATTTCAAAAAAATTAATAAACTTAGCATAAACAATTTCATGGAAAGCAGAAGTTTATTTCAACTGATGAAGTACTCGATACAGAGGAAATCAATAGGGTTACTCGAGTTTGCTCCGCCCTGAGCCACGTTATGACTACGCTCTGCACCATCTGGCAGAAACCGCAACAGCCGTGGCTGAGATCATCGTTGTGAATTTTCATTGTTTCTCGTGCAATAGAAAAAAAATAAACGATGAGGTAATAAATAGGTAGTTACTTGGCGATGAGATAACAGTCACGTTTTAAAAAGACGCTTTTGAAAAACGCAATGGACTAAAATAACATAACTCGTGGGCTTTGTATGAATAAATTTGACACATAAAAAGTTCCGTGAGTTTGAAATTTGTACAGCTTAGCCCGTTTGGCTCGCAATCAATTCCTTTGTCGCTCAATTTGTTTAGCAGACAATGAAGACATCAAAACAAGCTGGGGTTTCGGATTCCTCAAAAGATACTCAAATGTTTTTGTTTTTCACTCTCCTCTTCAGACCATCGGCGCGCGGAATCCATGCTAAGGATTACTTAGTTACGGGAGAATCGGAATTTTTTTCTTTGTTCTTCGTTCGAGGCAAGCCGAATTACACCTCGTTTAAGCTCTCTTTAGTTTTCGTGAGACTCCTTAACACCTTATGTCGAGACCGTCGCATTCCAGATGTTGGTATGATCGATACTTCACAATTTTGATCCACTTTTCAACCGTTACCTCATTAGAAACTTCTCATTTCCACCCACAGACGACTGATGAAACGCATCATTAATCTTTCTTAAGATGGATTAAACACAAGGCTTTGTTTTTTCATCCAAACAATTTTACCGTTGGTAACCTATTTCAGTCGATTGTTGAAAGTTTAGAAATGTGGCCGGCACATTGTTTTATTGCCTCGGCTATTAATTAAGTTTTATATCTTGGGGACGTGTTGTGTCTGGGTTGTAATGAAAATGATAATTTGTAAACTGAAAAAATGGCCCACACGTTTCCTATTATCAAACGTCTCAATCGTATGATTCGGTTTCTCGTCTGAGGTTGTACTGTTAGAGTAAAAACCAAACTGTCGAAACCATGTCCAGTTTTACGTAAGGCCCAGAGAAACGATTGGCCAATTTTTTTTCCTGATTGGAAAACGCCTGTCTACATTACGAAATGAAATTCGCCGTCCATTACAGCCTCAGTCCGCGGTTTTATACTCAAGTAGCACTGAAAGTGTCGCGCATTATCATGGCATACAATCATATCTCTATGGTTCATAAGCTATAGGTAAGCTGGGTATAGAAGTGAAAACATATTGAGTATATTTTTTTTCACGAAATTTGGTTTGGTATTTTTTTTTTCATTTTCTTAAGTTAAGTTTATCCCTTTTCCTTCTCCAAATGCACTAGTCATCATTTTATAGAGGAAAGATTGTAGCTCCGCTCTCATATCACCCCAATGCTCCTGATCATTTGATGCTAAAAGAACCGTGACAGGTTCTGATATTTAGGGACGATACCCGTGGAAGGTAACAAACTCGAACCCGATGTGTATTTTAATAAAACTTTCAAACTTTGGAACAAGGAACATAGTTCAAATAAAAGAGCTTAAAGTAGCAAGGAACTGGCCATCGCCAGTTTTCCAAGGCTATAACTGTCTTTGCGCCCTGGGTTATATTTTAAAAGGATATTCTGCTAATCGGAAGGCGGAAGCAATGAAATTAAATTCCCCCTGTAACATTTAATATTAACTAACGGCCTCGTGAGTTCGTGAACATTAGTTCTGCGAATTACCGCATTCTACGTACGATAAAGTAAACTTGACTGCACTAGCACAAGAATGAATAGGAGTTTTACTGTAACAAGAAGAGTTTTTCCCTCTCCTATACCTTTTTTAACCCGGATTGAAATTTCAACTCGTGAGATCTCAACCCTCCTTAATACCTCGACCACGAAAAAATTACCCGTCATGTCTTACCGGCGAATCCACTGTAGGAATTCAGAACCCCCAAACCAACTCACCCCTCCCCCTACCCCCTTCGTGACAAAAGGTGTGATTTGAAAGTGACAATCTTGGCTACGAAATCTTGTTCCGAAGGTGCTCTTCCCCCCAAATGCATGAAAGGCGGCGCGATGTATGCGATGTTCCTATCAGTTAATTATGAAAAATAGGAAAAGATATCCCGCTGTAGACCATGGGAAGGGAGGGAGGAACTGCAGTTGTGGTTGACACTCTCCATAATAGTATGACACATTACACCACTAATACACTGAGCCGTGTATTTCTCGTCGAATGTGAGTACAATTTGAAGGGAAAGAAAACACAGTGAACCTTCATTGATGTGACACTTATTGGAATACATGTAGCAACAGCTAATGGGAGTCCTGATAAAGTGAAGAACTAAAGTAAAAAAACTAACTGGAGCTCCAATTTTTTAGGCTTGGCTAAATCTGTGTATCACAAACAATTTGATTGGTTCTTTCTTATGATCTATTGGAGGACAAACCCATAGATGACGTAGCAACACTTTGCTTTTTTATCATATATAACAAGTAGATTTCATATTGCCGTGGGTATGTACAATAATAGATCACAGAAGACGTTACGAGGCGTAGCTGAGTGTGTCACTGATGTACAATAGTGTCATAAGAGTACCATAAGAGAAGCTCTCCATTACGCGATTTCTATGTATGACGCGCTAATTTGAGTCTCTAAGTTCACACAGTGAGTATAAATTTCAGTCTTCATCGAAGTTTCTACCAACATCTATGATTATTAATGAATTATTAGGTAAGGTGAATTGGAATTACCTTCTCCTCATATCTTCTGAAATGTGAAGATCCCCTTGACGAAAACTGCTGCTGAAAGAGCTGAAAAAACTCATTATCCAGCCGATTACGGCACTTTGGTAACGGGCGGGGAAGGTCTTTGTAATAATGGAACACCTCTGACGGGCAGGTGGGAGGAACGTTCAGGAACATCGTGCAGCAAACCACTTATCTCCCGACTGCAAATGAAAAAAGTGATAAAATAAATCTATAAGGTACGTAAGTGAAGATCCATAACTTTAGACACTACAATTCCACTAAAATAATACAAATAACCCCTTCGTCTTCAACAAGGATCATTTAAAATGTCCCTAAAGCATTGATAAATATTCGCTCGTACATAGGTTTGCCATACTCTAAAATGACTTAAAGCGTTCTTTCCATTCTGTACTCAGTTACTTCCCAGGAAAAAACTTAGTTGTTTTGACACGAAAAATCACATGAAAGGCGTATGTTCGTCGAATTTAGGCTACTCCTGAATGGAATGGTGAAAAGTGCTCGCCATGATAGTAAGGATTTTCAGGTCAGTTAGCGGCATTCTTATTAGCCAGTGTGATAGATGGCTTCAACATTGATTTGTTTCTCTCCTGACTTTCTGCTGAAGTCCTCTGTGAGAGTGAATCCTTAGAACATATCAGTTAAAACAACTGAGAACCTGGTGAGGTTGATCGTTTGTAGTGATTAGATGTTAAGCTGTTTTTGAACTTCAATGGCCTCTGCTACGTTATAAACAGGAGCAAGAAATGTGCTCGGCGATGGTCACGTATTTCATTAATAGAGTTATATTGGACTTTCTTAATAACAGGTGCCAGGCGAGATATTGGTCTTGCACGACGTTGTTTCAAAAAAGGAAAGGCTTCAAGAACTGTTTCTAATAGCTAAAGCACATTAAGACAAAGCAATGAGGAAACAATACCAAACAAATCAAGCTCGGTAATTAATCACATTTCGTTCAGTGATACTTGAGGCGCATTGAGCCATTCAGTAGTAAGAAGATGAACCTCTGAAGCTAGCATTGAAAATATCACTCAGTTGAGTGTAGCTGTATGATTTTTTTTTAAGATTAAGAATGTTTAGAAATGTTATTTCAATAACAGTGAGAACTTCTACATGTTGTGGAAACATTTAGCATTCTCTTAATGGAAATATTTTTA